AAAAAAAAAAAAAAAAAAAAAAAAAAAAAAAAAAAAAAAACCCACAACCAACCAAAATACAGACTTGTGGAGCCCATTCCAAATGGACACATCTACAAATCACCCCTGCACCTAATATTCAGGGAACACTGTAGAAGAGGGAGAGGGACAATTGTAAGGGGCAGAGGATCAAAGAGTTTGCTGTGAGATTGCATCTCTTAGTAATGTCAGACGCTATACCCATAAAGTCTCACCAACATGACTGCCTAAATATGAGCTGAACAAGAACAACAAATATTCCAAAGGGATGGTGGAAAGAACACAAGGCCCCAAGCTTACACAAAGAACTATGGGCAACAAAAGAATGCCCAGAGAGGAAGAAATAATCTTCCCCAGCGAACAGCATACCAATTGGTTATCCATACCTAATGGCTGGCTCTGACAACATACATACAAGTAACATTATACAGAGCAAGCAGGACACACGCGCGCGCGCACACACACACACACACACACACACACACACACACACACACAAATACACACAATAACAATGAAAAAGGCTGTGAATTTGAAAGAGAATGAGGGGTATACAGGAGGGTTTAGAGAGGAATGGGAATGGAGGAATGTTATAATATCAAAAATTAAAGATAAATACTAAATAAATACTAAATAAAAAAGAAATAAACACTAAAAAGAGAGAGCTAGTATTGTCATTGTTTGTGTATCAAGATTGCTGGGGTTTAATCCATAACTAATTGGCCCTGCTGCCCTGGGCCTTTGAAAGCTCACCAAGGTGGAAGGCATGGTGGAGCCAAGTACATCTCAAAGCTAAGAAAAGGAAGTAAGGGGTAGGTTCCATTGTCTCTTCCAAGGGTACATGCTCCAGGATAGAAATGTCTCAGACCAGCCTTCTCTTTCTCCAAGGAATATCAAGCTGGAGACTAAGCCTTCACACACAGGTTTTGGGGGGTTATTTCAGATAGGAACTCTAGCAGCTTTCCACCCCCATGGCTTCTATGTGTCTCTCATGTTAAATTTCACAAGCACAGGAGTAGATACTTATTATGGATCCAGGTGGTTGGTTATTTGTCCTACTGCTGTGGATTGTTGACTGTCACTAATTTTGGAAAATCTTTAACAATAACTACTCCAAATTATTTCTCCTTCCTTTTCTTCCATTTCTCTATTCATGTATCATAGAAAACCTTGAAAATATTTCTCTTGTGGGTTTTATTTTTAAATTGTTTTCTTGTAACATTTGTGCCTGGGGAGTATCCTCTAGCATATGTTCAGATCAGTAATTCTTTCCTTTGCTGCCCATTTCCAGGTGTTGAAAACCCATCTAATGTGCTCACTTCTATTGCAGTGCTTTCTCCTTAGCATTTTCTTCTTACTCTCTTTTTCCATATTTCTTTGCTTCTCATTCTTATTTGTTCTGCCACATTTTCTGTTTGTCAGATCAAAGCCTGCAAAGAATTAATAAGTTACTTTAAATTCCCTATTTGGTAGTGCTTACACTGAGACTTGGCTGTTTGGTTGAGCCACTTTCTTTCTTCAGGGCAAGCTTTCTGTTGGCCTCGTAATATTTTTTTTTTTTTTTTTTTTTTTTTTTTGTGAGAAATTGAACATGATGCATCAGGTTATAGATCTGAGTTAAGAAGAACTTCGCTGAGTCTTAGATCAACTCAGGAACGATGGAGTCACAGGCACCACGGCTTCCGTTTTCTCTCATATCCTCATTTCCCTTTTGTTGTTCTCCCCTGACTATCCTTGGGTGTCCCAAGTACTTCAACTGAAGTACCCTAGCACACCTGTATCTCAGCCCCTCCGAGGTAATGCCCTGCCATTACACTGAGGCTGGAGACATGGCCTAGTCTTTTCTGGCTATTATTGCAAAATAGTTTATGCTGAGAAACTTATAGACAGCAGAAATCTATTTCTCACATAGTGAGAAGTAAAGTTGGACACAACTTCAGATTCAGAGAGCCTGCTCCTCATAGATGGTGTCTTACTGCTGTTTTCATGTGGTGGAGAGATAAGGAGACTGGTTCCCTGAAGCCCTTCTAGACGGGCACTAATTCCACTCAGGACAAAACCCTCATGACCTAGCACACCCACAAGGCCCCAATCTCTTTAAAATGCTTTCTTAGTCCTGGGGATTGAATCCAAAGCCTTGCAAATGGCAGCTAAATGCTTTACCACTGAGCTGCAACCAAGATTTCATGGTCATTCTGGCTGTTTAGCTTTCACAGATACATTTGGATTATGGCTACATGACAGAAAGTTACTATAACATTAAAATTGAATTGGTTATTCCGAAGCCCTTGATTCCACTGTGACCTTCATGAGTGTCTCCTTTGTTCTTTTTTTCCCCTTAGGTGAAACAGCAGACTAGCTGGTGCCCCTCTCACCATATAAGACTTGAGCATGGTTCCCTGGGAAGATTTGTTTGTTAAAAAGAATAGAATATTCTAGGCCTATTATAAAATACTTTTCCCTCCCATTCCTCCAAATTATGAGGTAGATTTGGATTTTCCATGGAAGTTGGTTTCATATACTCCAAGGGGAGCTTCTCTTTCAAGCTGATTGATACTTAAGTCGCCAGACCCTTCTGGAAATTCCTACGAAGTCTCGGGGCTTCAGCAGCTACAAGTATAGAGGTCTCAGCTGCAACTTGTGCTCACAGGCCTGTTCAGATTTCAGGGCAGTCAGCTCTGTGGCTTCAATTCTTCCATGAGTCTAAATGTCACTATCTTTCATGTTGTTCAGTTTTTGTTTTTGTTTTCTCCTGCTTTCCTGCATATCCAACCTATTTGCACAACGAAGATGGAATGTGTTTGTCATGTCCATTGACTCTCATGTTTCCATTGCTCTGTGGAAGGAGACACTCTAGCAGGGACTCTGGGTTATGAGGGAACATGTAGCTCTTCTCTGAGTCCCAGAAGAGGGAAATACCTTTCCTTTGGTACTTGTATAAGGGAAGCTCACTAAAACTCAGGCTCTGTTGTGGTTTCTGTAGTCACTGGGTCGCTCTCATCTTCTTCTCAGTGACCTTCCCTTGTGCTAATGTAGAGGTTCTAGAGCCAGTGTAGAGATGCATCTGACTGGTGGCTCCAATTCAACCAATGTGCAGTCTGGTTAGAAAAAGAAAGAAATGCACACTACTGGATAGTACAGGAATGTCAGGATATTGTCCAAGAGCACCAAAAAATGTTATTTTCCTATGTATGTTTATAAGCCATCTAGAAATGAAGGCAGAATCTGGTTTTTCCTCTCTAAAATAATACACTGTGGAAATGTTTCCTATCGCAGCCTCTCAGATAAACAGTAATTCTGATCAACTTTGCAAGTACCACCACTCTTTTCAGCAGGTTATAAAAACACACTGATGACTAAAGCATTCAAGTATTATTTTTACTAGAAATTACAGAATAGAAATGCTAATACTGACTTATGAACCTGGATGCAGTAGTGCCTACCTGCAATCCCGGCACTGGGGAGGCAGAGGTGGGAGGATCAGGAGTTCAAGGGCTCTGCATAGTGCATTCCAGGTCAGCATGAGAGCAGGGCTGCACGGTGAGGCCATGTCACAAATGATCAATGTTTCCCGTATCCAGCAAGTGCTCCTGCAGTTCTCACATAAGAGGATGCTGACTTTGATTCTTCTGTTTTCTTTTGAAAGATATTACAGAAGGAAATCCTTAGACCCTTCTTCACTTCTGTCTTACTTCCCACTGACAGGAATCATGTGCTGTGCTCTCCTAATTGTTGACCTGTTTTGAGTTTTTTTATTTTTTAACTACCAAACTGCAATTAAATTTCATTTATTATGTTATGCTCAGGTATATTTCCACTAATTTTTTTCAAGATTTACTTACTTTTGTTTTGCCTGTATGTATGCCTATGCACCACACACATGCCTGGTGTCTGGCACACAGAAGCCAGAAGAGGTCATGGATTCTCTGTAACTGGAGTTACACATGGTTGTGAGCTGCCGTGTGGGTGCTGGGAATTAAACCTAAGTCTTCTGTAAGAGCAGCCAGTGTGCTCCTACCTGCTGACTGCTGAGACATTTCCCTCCAGCCCTCCAGATCCACCTTTTATAAGGTGTAAAACAAAATCAAAAAACAACTCAGAGCCCTCTATAAAGAGAAGATATATTGAAGAGAGTCCCTCCTGGACTCTCTTTTAAGAGAAGAATTTAGTGCTTCAAGTTGTTTGCTTGCAAGGTAAAGCCTTTCGATGCATGTTTCACAAATGAATTTTTCTTTCAATGTGACTTAAAGGTTGTATATATATATATATATATATATATATATATATACATATTTACACACACACATATATCTAGGACACAGGAAATTTTATAATCACTATCTTATTTTTTTAAACAGGAAAAGCTAGGAATCCTCTATGGTGGTATATAAACATGCACCCTAGTCCAGTGGTTTAGAATGTAAACTCTGGAGTCAAATTGCCTGCACTCAAATTTACAACTTAGTAGTTGGGCGACCACAGGCAGCAACAGTCATTCTACTGCTTGGTGCCTTGATGCACAACTGAAGGTAGGAGTACACACCTGGGGGGATGGGGATGTTAAAATTAGGACAGTAAGATTACCCAGACTATAAAAACACAGAATCTAGCACATGATCACACACACACACACACACACACACACACAAAGCCAAAAACCCAAACCAGGAGTCAACCTTGGTGTGTCCACAAACTTCTCGATCAGCATAGCATCATCATTGAAAGATTTCTTAGCTTCCCTGCGAGCTGATTCTAACTGCTCTTGGAATTCTTTTTCTGATCTAATGATCCTCATGCCCTAAGGAAAAAAAAAAAAAAAAGAATTGTGTGAACACAACATAAACACAGACCTCTACCCAGAAATGGCAAGGACAGGTACCCACAATCTTACTTTTCCTCCTCCACCACGCACGGCTTTGATCATAACAGGGTACCCAATTTTCCCAGCATGTTCTTTCAGGCACTGGTCAGACTGGTCCTCTCCATGGTAACCTTCCACAACAGGAACTCCAGCAGCAGCCATGATGGACTTGGATGTGCTTTAAAGTAAAAACACCAAGATGCCCAATTCTGTGATATCGATAAATGACAACTGTTTAGAGTCATTATACAATTAAAGGAATGACTTCAGTCTGGGACCAATATCATCATTGCATACAGTAAACTATTGTTAAACACTTCCCTTATTTCATGTGGTAGCTAATCCCACCATCTTCTAATCACAGTCAGCTAATATATACCTTAGAAAAACTAATTACATGTATAATTTCCATAATTCAGTGGAATTTTCCTACATGCCAGAAGAGTAACAACAAAAGAGTATAATTTAGAACACCTTTTAATGGAGCTGGTAAAGTGCTTGCTCTGAAAGCCTTGAGTTTGGTCTTCAGAACCCATGTAAAGGGGGAATGCTTGCATGTGTGCATGTATGTACACACACACACACACACACACACACACACAGTAATTTTAAAAATACCTGTCGTAAAAAAATAAACTACTTGAGTTAGTCTTACAATGCTTACCTCTTTATACCCATATCTCTAATTGCAGATGAAGGAGGGCCTATAAAAATAATTCCTTCTTGCTTACAAAGTTCAGCAAATTCCATGTTTTCTGAAAGAAAACCATATCCTGGATGGATGGCCTATAAAGGAGAGAACACACAATAACTTACTGCTAGCTCTCAGCTGGCAACCTTTAGTGCTGGGATGTGCCCTCGTCCATGGAGACCTCTCCAGATATGGCTGACAAGACATCAAGGTCTTTGTCAGAACATGCTCCTAAAGAGATATCTAGAACATTCATATTGAAATTTTGAAGCCTGTTTTACACCAGAAAAATCTATTTCTTTATTTCTTTTTGTTTTTTGTTTTTTCCACTTGATGCTGCCTCACACATGACATATGCTAGGCAAGTTGTCTACCACAGAGATATGCTCTTGACTTTGCATCTTTTATTGTAGTAATATATACAAAACCTACAAGGCACCAGTTCAAGCAATTTAAGCATGATTTGTACCAATGATACTATCTTATTGTCATCAACACCTACCTCCAAAATGTTATCACCATCCTAGACATAATCCCTAAGACCAAGTAGCCACTATTTTTCTTTCCATTTCTCTGAATTTACCCATCTAGATGTCTCCCTATCCATGGAATTATATAATACTTGTCTGTCTATGGCTTATATTTAACTTAGCATGTTTTCAAATTCAACCATATGGCAACTTATACCAGAATTTCATTCATTTTCAAGGCTCATTTTTCACTATATGTACATTCCACATTCGTTCATTCACTCATCTGTTCACAGATATGTGAGTTGTCTCAACTTTTTTATCATCTATAAATAATGTGACTGTGAACCCTAGTGTATAAGCATAAGCTCTTGGTCTACAAGTATGAGCTCCTGGTATAAATTCTTTGATATATACCTAGAAGTACAATAAATAGGGTAGTGAGATTTTTCAGTAGGTAAAGTATCTGCAGAAAGCCAGACAACTTGAATTTGATTCTGGAAGCCATGAAAAGGTGGAAGGAGAAAACTGACTTCACAAAGTTGTTCTCTGATCTCTACATTCATGATCTCCCAACCCCTACATCATATACACACACACACACACACACACACACACACACACACACACACGCGCGCGCAAATTTCAAACAGACATACACACACGTTTATAAACATACGCATATACACATATAAACTCATACACACACACACACAAATTTCAAACAGACATACACACACATTTATAAACATACGCATATACACATATAAACTCATACACACACACAAATTTCAAACAGACATACACACGCATTTATAAACATACACACATACAAAAACACATATACACATATAAACTCACACACACATGCACACATACACATAAATAAAATTTTAAAGTGGAATTAACAAACTTTATGGTCTCTCTAGAACAATCCATCTTTATATTAAAAAAAATTTTTACCTTTACATGAACTTTTTAAAATTTTTAATTGAATTTTTAAAAATGCTTGGTATAAATTAAATTTAAAAGCATATTAAGACATTTTATTTTTTAAAGACATATTTTAGGTTAAAAGAGAGCAATAGTTATTAAACAGTTGTTATTACATCTGTTACAGCGTGCGTGCGTGCGTGCGTGCGTGCGTGCGTGCGTGCGTGCGTGTGTGCGTGCGTGTGTGTGTGTGTTGTGGGGCATGCATGTGGAGGTCAGAGAACAATGTAGAAGAATCAGTTCTGTCCTTACACTGAACTCAGGTTGACAGACTTAGCAGCAAGTGCCTTTACCTGATGAGTCATGTCACCCACACTAGAACCACCCACACTTTAGAATACCATCCCTACTAGGGACAGCAAAGAACTATAGCCTGGGAAGAAGGATTTGTTTATTGTTTCTGTGCAACACTGGCCTAATCTTAAACATTTCATGTTCCAAGCACTTGAATTTTGAGGTAGAAGAGCTCAATTCTCTTAGTTCTAATTTATAGTTTAGATTCTCCCTCCACCTACATACCAAAAGATTTCAAGTGCAGAGCACCCATTAAAAATGCTAAAGAAGGAGAAAAGGAATGTATATAGTTTACAAAGATAACTCAATAATCACATGTAAAAACTGGCTAAAAAGAGAAATGTCTGCAAAGAAGTAATTTTGCATAAACTACAAAATTTATTTGCTTTGCATTGTAAAGTTTTTCACAGTTCTTACCTGTGCTGCAGAGCTCTTGGCCACTTGAATGATTTTCTCCATTGCCAGGTAGCTCTGCTGAGATGGAGCAGGGCCGATGGAATATGCTTCATCTGCCTGTTAAAGATGGAATGTCTAGTTTGCACTTGTATATAGGACCACATCAGCCTCAGTTACTAGTTGTGGGATATTTGCTTAACTAGAAAAAATGTGTTACATTTATTTAGTTTGGAGCTTAACTATGTGAAGGTGTGTTACATTTGTTTCTGCTGCCTTTGTTAACAATGTAAAGATGTGTTACATTTGTTTCATTGTGCCTGCCTAAGGCATTTGATTGGTCTAATAAAAAGCCTGTGTGTCCAGCTTACAGTTGGGAAGTGTCCCTTACAGAGGGAAGACAGCCATTAAGCATTCACACACAAATGGAAGCTGTGATGAAGGCCCTAAAGGAGAAGGCAGGGACATAACAGTAGCAGAGAGACTGACCCTGGTCTGAGGGTGGCCAGGGTGACCTAGCAGGAGCAGTTAGGGCAGGCTGCTTGGATTTGGTAAGGACTTGGTCTGGGCATGGATGGAGAAAGTGGGCTTAGGAAATAAATTGGAGAGCTTCCGTGGAGAGAACACATATACGTGAAGGTCCAGAGGTGGACAGGAATCTGTCTGTGTAAGCAACCAAGGGTAGCTCACATGGTAGGGTTACAGTAAGTGAATGGTCAAGAAACCAGTGAAAACACAGATTTCATGAGACTTCTGGGAAGTAAAAAATATTTGGATTTTTTTTCCTATTTGAACTCATAACAAACAAAAAAGCCAAAATTATATTTTAACTCCACAAAACACAAGTCCAAGTCCATATTCATTCTGAAAAACATGGTGTTATAAAGCATGTGCGGAACCTTGGCAGATTCCATGGCAGACAAAGGTGACTGAGGCAGAGGGGCAAACACACCAGGCAGACAGCTTAAGTGAGAAGTTTTAATAGAAAGGGGAGGGGGGGAAGGAAATAGAAAAGAGGTAAAGAGACACAGAGGACAGAAGAAGGGAGAGGGGGAGGGGAGGAAAGAAGAGGGGAGGAGAGGAGAGGGCAGGAGAGGAGAGGAGAGACAGGAAAACTCCTGTCTGCCCCAGGAGAACAGCAGGAAAGAGAGTGGGAAAAGACAGCAGGAAAGAAAGCAGAAGTGGGTGGAAGTCTTTCTTTTAAAGGAGTCCTTTGCATCTGGGCTGACCAGGGTACTGTCTGAATGCATTCTACCAGGTGACAGGTTCAGGCCAGCATAATGCCTGAATCCTTACACACGGACAATAAAACAATGGTAAATTGGTCTTGGGTATCACCCTTTATTATAGTCCTCTCCAGACACACTTTCCACTAAAACCAATTCAGAACACTTTTCATACCTATATTTTTATTTGTTCATATAAATATAAGCCCACATAGTCTTAGTTCTATACAAATAGAATTTGGAATTATTCTGTCTTCTGGAATTATTTTTGGGGTGCTTCTTTGCTAGCATATACATGTGCAGCTGTGTAGAACAGTTATACAGAATGGAGTTATCACAGCTAATTTAATCACAAGTCTCTTCTCTTGAATTTGGGTAATAGTGGCATAGTGCTAGACAAAGGAAAGGATGAAACACTCTTTATATCTCTCTGTGTGCATTTATAAGTGAATGTGTCCCCCTATATTGGGGCCACAGACCTAGCAGAATGTTTGCAGGACAGGGTTACAAATGTGTACATTAAAAGTTCCTGGTTCATCACCACCTGGATTTCACTAACAAATATCTCCATCAACACATCAACCCATCTTCATCAATACCAAATATTAGCTGTCTGTCTCTTAACTTGATGGATCATAAAGCAATTAAACTATATGAACAAACTTTGGTTCAGAACTTGGTCTGGCAGAAATGCAAGAAAGAGATCCTAAGAGGGAACAGGAAGAAAGCTCAGAAGGCAATGGCACCCTCCAGCCAAGACAAGACAGTGGCCTGACTTACGGTGCAGGTACAAGAGGGCAAGAGGAAGTGAGGGGGATGCCTGGGAAGTGGAAGTAGCAGCCCTTAGTGCTCTCTAAATGAGGGAAGGATATCATGTATAAAGTGTGTGGGGGGGTGGGGAGGCAGTCATTTAAACATACCCAGTTCTCTGCATCATTATTTTTATCAGCAAAGGTATTGTCAACTGGGAAGGGAAGTGTCTAAGAACATCAAGCAGAGTATTAATGAAATAGTTAAGAGTTCAGTGTCAGGACATACTGGCTTGGTATCTGACAAACGGGCAAGTGGGTGTCTCTGGACACACATGTTCAAAAGGAAGGCTGAGCTACAGATAGAAATTTGGGAGTTTTCCATGAAGTCAACGGGGTAGGTCTGATGGTTTGGAATAAAAGAATGTAGTGAGAAAGGAGGAAGGTCAAGACCAAGTCTTGACATCAGAACTTCAACATTAATGGTTGAATTCATACAGGTAAGTGGGGTCAAGAAAGGATATTGAGAAAGGAGAGAAGGTTCAGAGACCTGAAAGGTAGGAGGATATTTATTTCTAACAAGAGGGAGTAGATTACTATGGTTTTAAAGAAAGGCCATTGAGGCTGGTCCAGGAACTCAAACTAATGCATACAGTCTTTCTAGGGGCTAAAGAGAGTCAACAGCCAACCTCATCTATGCCAGGATTATGTCTAGCAGACAAGAACTAGTTATAAAAAAAAGAGAGAGAACTAGTTATAACTGAAACACAAACTTCAGCCAGGCAGCAGTGGTGCACATCTTTAATCCTAGCACTCAGGAGGCAGAAGCAGGTGGATCTCTGTGAGTTCAAGGCCAGCCTGATCTACAGCCTGAGCTGTTACACAGAGAAACCCTGTCTGGAAAAACCAAAAACAACAACAAAGAAAACACAAACTTCAAAGAAGTTGGGTGTTTTTAGCTTGGCTCTTACTAATGAATTAAAGTTCAGAAACATCAAGTGACTTGTCTAAGGTGACAACTGCTAACAACAGTTGTCTTGATCTTTTTGTCCTTGCATATCAGGGATTTGGAATTAAGCAATCTTTGATGAGATCAAGTACCTTGCCTGTAAATAAGCATGTGACCAAGCACACTGGTTTAACCACTGTTACACATTAATAGTGTCTCCAAGATGTACTCAGTGAGTAGTGGGAACCTACTACTTACACAAACCTTGTTAACACTTGCAAGCATCAACTGTCATCATAAAGAACTAAACTGAGAGCTGAAGAGATGGCTCAATGGTTAAGAGCACTGGCTGCTCTTCCAGAGGACCCATGATCAACTCCCAGCAACCACATGGCAGTTCACAACTGTTTGTAACTCCAGTTACAGAGACCCAAAACTTCCTATGGCAAAACACTAATGAACAAAAAAAAAAAAAAAAAAAAAAAAAAAAAAAAAAAAAAAAACCTAAACTGGACACAAAGCAAATACATGCAATTGCTAACAAGATTTTGTTTCCAGCTTTTAACATCAACATACCATATCTACATGCATGGTGTTCCTGTCGGCCTCACTGTAAACAGCCACAGACTGTATGCCCATTCTTTTGGCTGTTCGTATCACCCTGCAAGCAATTTCTCCTCTGTTTGCAATGAGGACCTTGGCAATGCCTCTTCCTGTTAAGACACCATGAAGTAAGACACAAGTGTTATTAGGAAATGAGAAATTAAAATATGTTATTAGTCAGCTCTTAAGGGCTTGCTTTGATAAAACTGGCATATGTTAGCCTAAAATCACCATTTTAATATTAGACAGTGGATTTCTTTTCTATTCACTAGAGTTCATAATATCTCTATTAATGCAAACTCAAGTTATTCAGTAAAAGATACAGAAAGCTTTAAAAAAAAACATATTGTATGATCTTTATATGGAAGAGCTTAGGACATTTAAACCAAGAAATGCAGTGTGAAAAAGACATGACTTGGTTCTCAGTTTCTCTTCTTACTATGTCGTGGAAACATCCTATTGTTATGTTCAAATGCCACTCCTTCTACATTGTTGACATCTGCACTGTCAGCGGCTCCAGTCCATTAATGTTTCTAGTTCTGTACAGTCAATTTCTACTTGATCATCTCCTTGTCAACTTAACATCAGAGCATCTAAAATATGGCTTATTGTGCTGTCTCTCAGATCTTTCCACAAGCACTCTTTTCTCAGTTCCCAAACTCCTGGAAAGTTAAGAGTATCACTGAATTTTCCCTGGAGGTCTGTTGTCACCCAGTCAAACCACGAGGCTTCTCAAAGTTTTCCTGCACTATTTCTTGAAATGTTGCTGTTTTTTCATTCTTTTCCCATTGCTAGAATCCACCTTTATTAATCTAAACCTAATCAATGCAGGTGTTTCAAACATGTCCAACAACATGGTCCACTTCTTTTCAATCGGCATAGTTCTTCCAAACGTATTTCATAAAAAGTCATTTATATTGATGGTGCCCTGTTCACACATGTATGATCATACATAAGATAAGCACTTGTGTAATCATATTTTATAAAGAAATGATACAGTATAGTGGGCAATGATTCCTACACTATTGCCTGCACTGTCAACTGATGAATTATATTTCATCCTGAGTGCCTAAGAGATTCACTATTTCCTTGTGTTTCAACCATGGTAATAAAATTGTCTGATCTAGAAAAAGAGTATGATAAACAGTGCCATCATCAGACATAAGATAAATGCTGATAGTTTAAAATAAGGTTTTTCTTTAAGAACATAAGGGTTTTTTGTTTTGTTTTGTTTTTTTGGCCAAGAGGTGGAGGTGCATGCCTTTAATCCAGCACTCCAGGAGGCAGAGGCAGGAGGATCTCTGTGAGTTCAAGGCCAGCTTGATCTACAGAGTAAGTTTTCAGATAGCCAGGGCTATGTATGGAGACCCTGTCTTAAACAAACAAAAAACTTAAAATGTTCTCCATCATTACACATCCAAATTCACACTCAACAGCAAAAGGATTGCATATTAGCAAAATTGGTGACTTAGTAATTAATAAAGTTATCATGAAAATGCAAAAGTATGAAGGTTTATGAGAGCTAATTCTATTGTATACAAATTAAAGATTAAAATTTCTATTTCTTGGCTCATACCCTAAAGCAATGCTAAACAAAGTCTGCCAGTACCTGGGGTTGTTCCATACTTCATGGTTCTCTGTTTCCAAGCCCATTCCCTATAAAATAAGTCCAAATGCAATTATGATTAATCAGAATATACCAGATCAGCTACTGCTCTTTCAAAACAAGTCAGATGCAGTAAAAGGTTAACTTTAAGCCCATTAGTAAGGTGATTTAATAAGACTCTCCATGGAAAGAAAACCTGGGAGGCTGAGTTCTGGCCAGTTTCCCTTTGTGTTGAGGTCTTTGAATGAGTCACCTACCCTGTTTAATATCTGAAGCTGGCATTTGTCCAGAGAGACAATTAAAGGCAAAGGTGCTTTAAAATCATATACCTCAGCTTTTTAAAAGCCTTCTGTTGGACTGTAAGTAAAAGTTAACAACCACCCAGTATACACACTGTTAGAATTGTCAAGGAAGATTACTCATTCTGTATTTTGATGTTATCTGTTCTACTTTATTAAATCAAATATGTTAATCAAACTACAGTTTGAAAATACAAATTGAATGCAAACCTCTGATAAGACAGTTTTGACAATAAGCCAAAGAAACTAAAGGAAGGAAGCAGAACAAGGATAATGGAAACAAGAAATGTTGGCTATGGCTTAGTCCCCACCTGCTACTTACTCTTCAATACTGCTTTGCTTGCCCACAGTCAGATCACTCTACACTGGAGTTTCTCAATCTTTTTTTCATTAATACCCTCCCAATGAGAAAACTTCACATAGGAAGGAATACATTTTAGATGAATAGATGAATTTGAGTTTTAGAGAGTTACAAATATGCTAGTCAAGTGCTTAACCTATAGCTCCCATTCTGCAAAATGCAATCTTGAAGATACTTCTCAGTTTTAAAGAATACAATTTTTCCAAGCAAAATCATAGCTGTGTATAGACTGATGAGCTTATTTCCTTCATAAAACACAAAGATCACACTATACATTAGTTATTATACAACTGCAACAATATGCATATACCCTTTGCACATAACTATGCAACCATCAGAACTGGTATTTCCCAAGGGTCTCTTGAGGTACACTAGACACTCACTATCCTGGGAGCCACACTTAATCAGATGTTGTCAGTCTTGAAGCATATTGGGAAGACCTACATCTTTGGCCTGAAAGCTCTGCAGATGGCTTCCCCAGGAGACTGGTGCTGTCTTAAATCTTTCCAATTTAGCCCACCTCACTTTCTTGATCTTCAAGGAGGAAGACATCTTTCCCGATCTTTATGAGACATTTTCCAGCTTGGAGCACTGACTTCCCTTTGACCTCTTCGGGTCAGTTAAGGGTTAAAGCCTTTCCAGGCAGTTGTGCCTATGAAATGGCAACTTCCTAATGGGGCCACTGACAGCCCAAAGCATTTTCCTTTCAACTAGTAAAGACTGATACAGACAGAAGGACATGCCCTTTATCTGTAATCCTCTATCTTGACAAAGTTATGATTGCTGTATCCTATTTTTTACAGTTATTTTTGCTACATCTTAAAACATTTAAACAAGATAAGCAAGTTGCTGCCATGAGAATAATTACACTGATTAAGAAAGCTTCTACAATCATGCCTAGAATCTTAATACTAAGGATTCTTTTTTGGAGGAATCATGGCTGGAAAAAAAAATCCCATGCTGGTAAGATTTTTAATTATAGAAACGATCAACAGCTACCGTAGATTTTTCTAGAGACAATAAGCAGACTTTGAGAGAGGAGAGAGGAGAATGAGTATGGTCATATTTGGAAACCTAAGGAAAGAAAACAGCATTAACACTAGCTTCACCATCTTTCTTATTTAAAATATAGGGGTGAGTCTAAGAAGTCACTGACAGTTCAGGTATCTACCACTGTTTGTTGAAGATAAAAGTGTCCATTCTTCAAAATGTTTATTGATTAAATCATATGGACCTTATCTGGTTAAATTTTTTATACAGTAGTTAATTTGAACAAAAAAAAAAAGAGGACTGGTATCGTATTAATATTATCTCTGCTACATATGAGCACCATCACCTCCTCCTAGAAGAAACTGAAGCAAAGATATTGGGTAACTTGGCCAAAGTCAACCATGCAGTGAGGCGCTAAGAGGGAGCCCACCCTTCTGCCCCCAGGGCAGTCTTGCCCTCAGGCGGGTACTAAGCGGCTGCCTTTCCAGAATCTGGGAGGAAGGTGATGGTAACGGTGAAGCAATCTACCTACACGACTCGGGGATCTATACTGCAGAAGTTACTGTCCCCAAAGCGTGGAGCTTCATCGCCCAAAGGATCTGGGGCACAAGTCAGTCATCTGACAGCTGTGTTCAAACTTGTGAACAGCTTCCGACAAAACTCCTCAGCCCTCTGCAAAGTCGCTCTCATTAATTCTTTCCAGCAATGGGAATGCTTCTGTGAACTGCACTCAACATGGGGAAGCTGAGCTGAAAGGAACTTTGTTTGGGAAGGGGGTCCTGGCCCACGCCTCTAGCTGTGCACTCTTCGGTAGGAGTAGCTTGCTGGGCGCCAAACCAGGCAAGCTCAGAGGGCCACCCTCCCTCCCATCCTTAGAGCAGAAACCAGCCAGTGACACAGGCACCAGGGGGAGAGCCAACAGGCTGAAGTGGAACAGCGCCCACCAGAACTACACAGATTCTTAAAGGGCCGCTCACGTGACCCAGCGCCCCGCAAGCCGCCCGTGCACCGACCCGCCGCCCCCACCGTCACCTCGGCTGCAGCAGCCGCAACTGGTTCCTATCTACCACAGCCAGCAGCGCCGCCGCAGCCATCTTCGCACAGCCGGGTCGGACACCAAAAGCTGCCCCGCGTACTAGTGAAAGCGTCCCTCGCCTTGCAAGCCTCCTGTCCTCTGTCGGCCACCGTGGCACCAAAGAACTGGAGGGCGTCTCCGCAATAGCCAATCACAGAGCCGGGTATGTCAAAGTCACCGATTGGCTGACTGGACTCAGTGCCGGGCTGCTGGCGGTGGATTGTGAGGGGCGGAGTTCCATCAGCCCTGCGCTGGAGGCGGAGGCAGCTCGCCTACCTTTCTTGTCCACCTGGGAGAGCGGAGGACACCGAGGCTTTCTATCAAAGAGCAAGCATTCTCACTGAACATCAGGAAAAAGGGGAAGTCGAAACCGAGTGGCAAAACATCTAGACACAGTAAAAATATCTGTGGATGATTATTGGAGACAGCTGGGGCAGGGTTCATGGCGGGGGGATAAAAGGAAAACAGCCAATTGAATGAAGGGTTACAATTTCAAAAAGAAACCCGGCATAGTGGCAAATGTTTGCAAACCCGGAACTGAAGAAGCAGAAGCAGAAGGATTGTGGTGAATCGGAGGATTGACTAGACAGTGAGATCCAGGCCAGCCTAAGCAATACAATGAGGTCCTCCCTCAAAAAACAAAATAAATATAAAAAGTAAACATAAATTCAGCGGGAAAAACAAAGGTAAAGACAAATTAATGGATTCAGAGAATTAATACCTTTTGAAGTAATAAATCCAATGTGAGAGTTAGTTACATTTTGAGTTTCAATTACTATGCCTAAGAGATCCATGAAACAAAAATGTGTCTGATCTTGCAAGCCCCTTGCCCAAGGACAGATAGTTCCTGAAATGATGGAAACTGGTGTTTGTTTGATCTTACACTTCTGTGTTTGATCACAGAAGGCTCACAGTCAGGAAATACGTCAGGATGAATGATTGGATCTGATGGAAATACTTACTCCCCAGCAAACCAAGGCCCTGGGCATTTTTTCTGGGAAACCAGAGATGGAACTGGCCAGAGAGTCCGTCCTCCCTTCAAATTTGACTTTAAACTGTGGTAGTGGTCTTCTTCTTGGCTGATGGAAGTAACATCAGGAACTCAGAAAACACGTAAGAAACCAGTCAATCAGAAATAAAGGGGGCCCAGTGGAGGCAGGAGGATCAGGAGTTCAAGGTCATCCTCACCTACACAGCAAGTCTGAGGCCAGCCTGGACTATGCCAGAACCTGCTTTAAAACGTAAGATACTGTCTTGAAAGTTTTGAACTTTTAGAAGCTCAGGATACAAACTGGCTTGCCTAGGTTTTCAAGAAGGTTCCTAGAGATCAGGCCCATTGGCCAGCACAAGAGAACACATTCCAATTCATCATAATCAATTCCTTATTCAGATACATGATTATGAGTGGAAGGGCATATAGCAAAATGATCCGTAGTCCATAAGGTTAAGATATCTTTATTCAGATAAACACCAGCCACATGCAAGCCAGAGCGTGCCAGGGACCGCAAGGCAGGCAGGCCAGAGAGAAGGCTCCCATGTGCCTTGCAGCTCCTTAAAAACCTATCATGCGTCATCCTGACCTCACCTTGACCATGCCCTAACAGGAGTGGTCAGGCACACCTGTAGCCAGACCTTAGGAGGCATGGCTACGGTGTCTCTCCACAAGGGCATCTTTTGTTAAATAAGTTTAAACCTTTATCAGTAAAGTCATCAAATGGTTCCAAAACTTCACTGGGAATACCGTGCAATTGCTATTGTGTGTGGCTGTAACCATTTTTTTCCTACAGAGTAATAAAAACTCTATTTATGGACTGGCAGTAGTGGCACACATCTTTAATCCCAGCACTTGGGAGGCAGAGGTAGGTGGCTGTCTGTGAGTTAGAGGTCAGTCCGTTCTACACATCAAGCTCCAGGACAGCCAAAGCTACACAGAGAAACCTTGTCTCAAAAAATAAATAAATAAATAAATAAATAAAACGAAACAACAAAAAGCCCTCTATTTATTGAGTTCTTGTTGCTCATAGCTCCTCAGGTTTTGTTTTGGTCATGTAGAGTCCCATAATTTTTAAATAAATCACACACTGTTTTCTGGGCTTGGGGAGAAACTGGTTCTATCTTGTACTTACAATTAATGTAAGATATATTAAAAAACAAAACCAAAAAGTGAGCATGGCCCTCAAATAAGCAAGAATAGAGGGAAAAATCTCCCTTGACTTTTTTTTTTTCTTTTTGACTTCACAGGGTCTCTCATTATATCCTGGCTGTCCTGGAACTCACTCTGTAGACCATGCTGGATTTGAACTTACAGAGATCCACCTGCCTCAGTCTCCTAAGAGCTAGGACTGAATATGTATGTTACCACACCCAGCCTTAACATGATGTTTTAATTAAAAGTAGAAAAATCACATATATAGAAAACAATGGATTACAAAGAAGCTAATTTTGCTCAACTTTAAACAAATAGATGTTATGAAAAATGCTGTTTACTAAAACAGATGCTGGAAAAGAGACAAAATCTAAGCAAACCATTAGTGCAGGGGAACTAGACCATATGATCAAAGAGCAATTCTTCCTGCCATTCTGCCTCCATTTTCACCTCTATACCTAAATGCTGTTAAAGCCCACATTCTCCTGCAAAAAATTCCATATAAATGGTAAACAATAGTTTATTGCAAAGCTATTAATTTTTTCTAGAACACAAAAGGATTGGAAAAAAATTGAAGTTGTTTTTATAAAGGTGATGATGCCAAAATCAATAAAAATAGCATGTACTTCACACATCCACATCTACATAATGATAGCCCAATGTCACTTATGTGTATTAATGGGAAAACCCCTATATACATATTACTAAAGCACACGGTGACATATAAAAAGGCAAATTTTATTGTAGAAATGTAATATTGGCTTACTGAGAAGTAACTGAGAAGTTACTAATTCAGTTAATCACATTAATATTTGAAAGAAGAGAAAATATTCTGTTCATAGTTACTTGATCAGTGTTTGACAAAAATCTAGCCATTGTTCTTCATTGTAACTCAGTAATTCAAGAGATAGGGTTAGGATCTCTGGGAAATAATGGTGGATCCTCATTCACTTTTCAAAGTCAACATCAAATAAGCTTTAAATAGATAAAAACACATTCATGTGTGTGCAAATACACACACATGAACATACATGTATAATTTTTTTACCCTTGCCTCCAAATATTTTAACTGACATAATTTAATTAAAATAGACATTAAACACGTTTGGTACTCTACACTATCTATAATCTCAATACCACAGAATACATATAAGTTACAGCACAGAAGTGAAAACTCTAGTTAGCATATAATGTGGAATGCACATACTTAGAAATCCTGGCTTTTGAGTCCCAAAGTGCTTCTGAAATTCAATATAGTACAAAAAATTAAAATCACAGTACACAATTGAAATTTTGGTTGAAAGTGTCAGATTCTTAGAGATTTTGGATAAATGTACACTCTTCTTTAAAAAGATGTACCTAAAGAAACCAGGAGGTGGTGGTGCATGCCTTTAATCCCAGCACTCAGGAGGTAAAGGCTGGCAGATCTCTGTGAGTTTGAAACCAGCCTGGTCTACAGGGTGAGTTCTAGGACAGGCTCCAAAGCTACAGATAAACCCTGTCTCAAACAAACAAACAAACAAAAACCACAAAACAACAACAACAAAGAAAGATATTCCTGGAGACACACAACACATCAGGCACTGATAGATAAAATTATGGAGACCAGGGTGAGGGTGAAAGACCCCGAAGAGGCACTTTCGTAGAGGGAGACCCCACACCCAGGAATCAGCGAGGCCACGAACTGGATGTAAAAACAAGAGGCTTTATTGGAGACGCGGGTACCCGGGGCGACTTAGCTTTTCTGAGGCCAAGCGCCCCGAGCCAAGGGAAAGGGGTCCTTATATAGGGAAAAAGGCGCAAGCTAGGAGCAGGGATTCTATTTGATGGTTCAAATGAGGCACAGAGCCATTCCAGATCAGCATATTCTCAAGGTCTGGTGTCTGGTACAACAGACTTGATTCCTCCCTCCGCGACCAGGTGGCTGACCTTGGGGGCGGAGACCTTGGGACGGAGTGTTTCTCAACGGGGGGGGGGGCGGGGGGGCGAGGGGTGCTCGGCCCCCGCCCCGGCGCGGTGCCAGGGCAGCCCCGCCTGGGTGAACCGGCTTTGGAGGGGAAA